TCATACAGCATTTTGCCAGAGCTGTGAGAGGGGAGGGGCCAGTCTCGTGCCCCAGCATATCCCCAGGGCCAAACCTGGAGCTGACCCAGAGCAGGAGTGCGATTCCTATTTTTGAATGAATTAAGAAACGACTGTCTTTCTCTCCGACTGGGCTCCTTTCAGGCAGGGTGATTATGCCTGGATTCTATGTTCAAGTTTTCGGATGATTTTATGCCTGACTGGTGCTGCATACTTTATAGTTTAGGACTGCCTGCTTCCCAGGTTTGCTGTGAAAATAGAGATGATGGCTGGGAGGGACTTTGAGCATCTAAAAGAACCCCCCCTCTGAACCTGGAAGGCTGTCACACCTGCTGGGGGTTCATCTACTTTGGAGATTGTGGCCTCTTCTCTGGGAAGCAGGCCCCCTACTCTCAAAAACCTAGTTAAAGCCTCGCTGGGTCCTGCACTTCAGGACTAACTGGAGCCCACATAGGGGGTGCACAGTGTGTTCTGAGAGCCTAGGGAGGGGACTGGGGACAAGGTCTGGTCCATCAGGGAAGAGGCTTCCACAGGGGTGATCTTGCCTCCGGCATCCTGATGGCAGAAATCATCTCAAAGGAGGCTCTGCCGGCCAGTCCGCCCCTCCTGCCAGCCTAGAAACCCCAGGGCCTAATAGGGAGAAAGTGCACAATATATTTACCCTTATTGAGTGACAGTGTAGATGGGAGGCATCCTGTGAGTGAGATTGGCTCCAAAGCTGACTCCCAGCCAACTCCAGCTGCAGGTGTGAGGACCCTGGCTCAGGTCTCTTGCAGAAAAATGCAGACTTTGTTCCCCACAAGGTCACTACCCAGAAAGTGATAAGTGGAGAAAAGGCAACATGAAAGCTAAGGGCCAGGGTTTCTGAGGAGGGGAAGGACTTCTAGTTGGCTGCCTTGGGGGTACTAGAAGACCAGGCATTTGCTCTGGGCCTTAAAACAAAGACTGAAATTGAAGTGTGTGTTTGAGGGGGTGGGGGTGGGGGTAGGGGTGAGAGGGGGAGAACAGAGACAGAGAGAAGGAGAGAGAGGTGAGTGTTGATAAGTATCCCAGGAAGTCAGGGATGAGGAGCAGATGGAAGGAACAAAGACATGAGGAGAAACAAAAAGTCTGTTCAGAGAATGGAAATGCATTGAAAGGTTCATGCATTACTGTTAACACATGTCATTTGACTAATGATTTACAGTTTCGAAAGGAGTTTGATAGTCTATCTAATTTCATCTCCACAACAATTAGGAGAGATGTGCAGAGAGTATCTCTATTTTACAGATGAGAAAACTGACACCCAGAGGGGGACAGGAACTTGTCTAAGGTCACACAGCAAGTAGCAAAAGCACAAGAACCCAGGTTTTCAGACTCAAATCCTGTGTTCTTTTTCCACTGCCCTTTAGTTACTGCCAAGGGTAGAGGAGCTGTGGAAGAGAAGGTTGGAATGGGACCCCTGGGACTAGAGTGAGCAGTGATTTGAATATGGGGCTAAGGAGTCTGGGAGAACTCAGAACGCTCCTTGGTGGACCTCAATGTTAGGGAGATCATTAAAGTTAGGAAGATCATCCTAGTGCAGAGGTACCGGGAGGGGCAGGCCTGATGAGGAGGGAGGCCCAAGAGAAGACCGGCCACAACAGTCAGGTCCTGGAATGTGAAGACAGGAATTATGCAAGGAGGGAAGACCCCCCCCACAAGGGTCAGGTGAGGCAAAGAGGGGAGGAGCTTGGGAAAGACTTCACCAGGGAGGGAGCTGGAATTTGCAAGAGAGAAAGCTGCTGGGAGCAGTGTGGAAAGGGGAGACCAAGAGTTCTGCTTGTGTGTGTGACTCTGTGGATAGGGTTGTAGGGAATGTACAGAAGGCAGCTAGAGCTTGGGTTTGGAGGTCACCTGCCCAGAGGGGATGGCTGGGATTACAGAAGATGAGTGTTTTGAGTCAGAGAGGGGGAAGGGCCCACCCTGAATTACTAAGAACAACCTAGGGAAGACCATTCTGCTTAGGATCACAGGGAATGTGTGCTACATCTTAGAATGGCACTCATCAAGACCAGTTCCAATAAAAATTTGAGGAGCTTACATAGGGGTTGGCTTTATTTTGCTGATTTGGACACCCCCAATCATGATAAGCAGATTCTTATAGACTTCAAAATAAAATAAGAATCCCTAAAGTTAAAAGTGAAAAAAAAAAAGTCAAAGAACATTTCAAAGATGTAAATGACAATTTCTTTGGTAAATCCTAACATTGGGGAATTTTTCCTAAGCAAAAAATTAATGATGTGTTCAAAGATTTAGCTACACAGTGTTGTATTATGAAAAAATGGAAATAACCTAAATGTCCTACAATAGGGGATTAATTGGGTAAATTTTTATTTATCCTTATGATGGAATAATATATACCCATTACAAATGATATTGCAGAAGTAGATTTCATGACATGGAAAGATGCTCATTATATATACAGATGCACATACAGATGATTATCTGTGAATTAAAATAAAGTTCTTGTTTTAAAGCACTTTTTACAGACTCCTGTTGCCTTCATAGGGTCATTTTGATCAATTTCTCAGGCCACACGGATGCAAACTTCCTCCCCCTAATCTCATTCTGAATTTTCCAGTGGCTGTGACAGGTTCTTAGAGACGACAAGCATCCATTTGCTGCACAGAGAACAGACTTAACAACTCAGAAACCACTTGTTTTCTGCTCTTCTTGCTCAGATGGTCTCAGTCTCTGTAGTGGGTTCCTGCTCCCATCTGTCACCTAAAGCACTCCAACCCTTCTCCGCCTTCCAGGGCCCCAGCACCTTCAATTTTGCTTACCACCCAGCTAGGCTCATTCCTCGCAGTTCCTCCTGCCTCTGCCTCTCCCAGCTCCTGCACCCACTGCTGTCTGGAGATGGCTCTGACCCATTCGTGTTGGTCTCCTGGGAACCAAGCTTGGCATTATTGACAGCATCAGATTCTGGTGCAGCAGAATTGGATTAACCCATCCATTTCCTCTGTGGGAGGGAGGCAGTAGAATGACTGACAGGTGGAATACTGCATCAATGTGTCTATTTATAGCCTGCATGGTTGCAACTGGGTGCTGCTGTGGAAGGAGAGCTGAGGTGCAGGGAGTGACACAATCAGCCCTGCTTGGAAGAGCAATTAACTTCTGAGTCAGCACCTTTGGGGGTCGGGGGTCGGTGAAGGAAGGAGCCTGCTGGGCCAGTTATAGATGGAAAATGAACACAGGCCAGCCTCTAGAAGTACAAAGGGGAGCAAGGTCTAGTTGTAAGCGTGAGTTAAGCAGCTGCCCTTCCCAAGTGGCCTGTGACCTGGGCTCCCAACCCTTTGGCTAGACCCGTGGCCTTGGCCAGCCCTAAGCAATAACCTCACACTGCCAAGAACCTCTCTGGGCCAACCTCTGAGGACCCAGAAGCAACACCAAGGCTGCCACTGAGAAGCTCCCTTGCAAACGCCATGTGAGGATGTGGAGGGTGGACTAAGGCAGGAGTGCTAGGAGGGACCAAGCTGCCCCACCCCAACTCAGCAGTCCTGGATTCTCTGAAACCCTTCTCCTCCCTTTCCCTAACGCCAGCCAGCCGTGGGGCAGTCCCAAGGATGTAGACGGCAAGGGGGAGAGGTGTCTCCCGGGTCTCTATTATACTCCCAGCAGGGACTTCGCAAACCATGCAGCATCTGCTGCCTAAGTGGGGCATGGTGCTTTACAGACACCATCTCTCTCTGTCACTGGACCAGCAAGGTAGGGCTATTACTATTTTGTAGTTGACGAAACTGAGGTCCCGAGTCCCTTGGCAGGCGCGCTGCGCCAGCAGCAGCAAGCTTGGGATTTCCTCTTTTCCGGCAGCCCCAAGGCAGCATCCCAGGCAGCGTAGGCTTTCCTTTACTTCCCCAGGGCAGGTGAGTGATCTGGAGGTGTGTCATCCCTCAAGAGGGGGGCAACGTGAGGGTCAAAATCCTCCCTTCTTGACACCCCATTAGCGGGCTTGAGGAACCAGGCTGCTTTTCAGGGGTTCCATCCCGGTGTTCACTCTGAAGAGGGCGGCAGGTGCCTGGTAAGCCCCTCACCTGCATTCGGGAGATTGATGTCCCCACCCCCCGGAGAGGAGGGTGAAGAGGTGGTCCCAGGAGCTAGCAGGCTGGGAGAATGCGGAGTGAGGGAAGTAACTGCGGGCCGAGGGCGTTCGGCTTTCCAGGACAGCTTTTCTCCCGGGCTAGCTCCTGTGCGGGCGGAGTGGGAGCGGGCGGGGCGGGCCCGCGGTTGTCCCGGGGCGGTGGCGCCGGGCCGGAGGGGGTGGGGAGGAGCAGCCGCCCTGTACTTCCCCTTCGCCGCTAGCTCTACAACAGCCTGATTTCTCCGAAATGATGTGGCGGCGCGGGCCAATAGGCGTCCTCGCGGCTCTTTAGAGGCGGGGCCCGGCCTGGGTTGGGGGAATCCCGCTAAGTGTTTAGATTTCTCGCCGACGCCGCTGCCCCGGCAGAGCGCGCCACTCCTTCGTCGAGGCAGGACGTGCGCCCCAGTCGCGCGGAGCAGAGGCCAGCAGGAGCCGTGCCAAGCCCAGACCAGCGTGCCCAGCAGCCCCGCGACCCAGGCATCCTCTGCCTTCTCCCCGCTCCCACCCGGAATCGCGCTCCCCGCGCCGGCACAGCAGCCCCCGCCGCGCCGGGACCCTCAGGCGCCGCTGCCGGATCGCGCCGCTGCAGAGGTGAGCCGCCTTCGCTGCGGTGGGGACCGGTGGCGTCGAACAAAGGGGCGCCGGGCACCAGGAAGTGGGGGCCGAAAACCCCAGCCGGGAGAGTCTCGGGCGCGCGGCGTTGCCTGGGTCCCCGAGCGGGCTCAGGAGGGCGCTGGAGGAGCGGCGAGCGGCAGCGCGGGGAGGGCGGGCCGCGGCTTGGCCCGCCCAGCCGGCCGAGGTTGCTGGCGTCTGGCCGTTGTCGCAGATCTGTGTGCGCGAAGCCGCCGGGGGTCTCTGGTTGGCTCGGTATGTTGGTTGCGCGCGTCTACAAGCCGTGCCGGGAACTCGAGTGTGCGTCCGTGCGTGGGCGCTCCAAGCTCCCGACGTCGGCTTTCGGCGGTCCCAGCTCCGCGCCAGGGCCCAGGTTTCAAGCTGTCTGTGCAAGGGGAGGGGGCTGAGGCTTGCTGCCCTGGGTGGCTGGAGGACCTGCTGGAGCTGCGGGAGGAGGCGCCACAGGTGTTCCTTGGGCCACTTCGCCCTAGGAGGGGAGCCAGGCAGGAAGGGTTAGCGTCCTGGCCTGTGCACCGCGGCTGTCAGGAAGGCGTAGAACAGATGGGGGTGGCGGTGGGGAGAGGACGTCCAGGGTGCAGGGTGATTGCTTGCCCTTCGAGGAAGGCACACAGTTAGTGGCAACAACTCTAGTAGGGAAATTTCTTGGCATCAAGCAAAAGAATCCCCTTCCTTCCCAAAGGATTCGAATTTGGGGAGAAAAGTTCTGGTATCTGTGTATTTTGTCTCTTTTTCCTGCACGTAAATCCTGAAACTATCACTGGCAAGCCTGTCTTCTCCCAAGACTGTCTAGGAGGGGGTGAAGGAAGGGGCAGAAGTGTTTTTGCCCAAGATGCTGAAAATATTTGGAGGGCAGTTTTATTCCAGTGAAAGTCCCTCCCTCGTGGAGTACCTGGGACCTGGCTGAAGGTAGGGGAGGGTATCTGAATGACCTGGGGTGGGGCAGGGTAGTGCCCAGTGGCTGCTCAATAGATTCCAAACAGGAGCCTTCTGTCTTCTCTTTACAGCCAACATGCCCATCACTCGGATGCGCATGAGACCCTGGCTAGAGATGCAGATTAATTCCAACCAAATCCCAGGGCTGATCTGGATTAATAAAGTGAGTGTAACTCTTTGGGTTTTTCTGCCACTATTTTAACCCATTTTCTTTGGGGGACCAAAGCTTCAGATGCAGCTAGAAAAGGGAAGTGATAGGGAGCAGGCAGATGTGTTTCCCAGTGGCTCCTGCATGCAAGGGGTGTAGGAGGCCCAACCCTGCGCCCCACTTGCCCGACTTCTGCTTTCCTCCCTTCTCAAGGTATGGACAGGGCACCCACCTGAGGGCACTGACAGTTCCCAGCAGCAGGACTCTCCCAGAATCTGCAGAGCTGGAGTTCTCGTCTCTCCTGAGGGAGACTCCTACAAATACACACAGCATCTACAGGGCTCCAGTCAGACAGATGGGAGACAGAGAAGTGGGCACTGCTGGCAGGAAGGTGGCTGACTCAGCAGGGAGCCCAAGAATTAACCTTGCACCAGTTGCCCAGGCCCAAGAAGCCTCTTGCTGGTGCACAAAGGGCAATATAGACCCTGCAAACTTAATAGTAATAATAGTATTCATAATAATAGCTAATGCTTACTGTACACTCACTAGAAGCATGGTACGATGCTAAATATGTTACTTACGTTGTGTCATTTAATCTTCAAAATAGCCCTTTGAGGTAGATCCGGTTAATATCTCCATTTTCAGATAAGGAAACTGAGGCTATGAGAGGTAGATAATGAGATCACATAAAAAGTGATAAAGCCAAGATTTGAACCTGAGCAGTCTGACTCAAAAATCCATACTGTTAACCACCAGTAATAACAGTGAGACCTCAGTCTTTATATTTGTCACTGTGTTTTGTCATTTCACAGCAGAGAAAACAGTGAGGGACAAAGAGGAACAGTGACAGTGCCAGGGTCACACAGGTAGTCAGCATCCAAGTCTGGCCCAAGGCTCCCTCAAGTGTATGGCTGTAGAGCAGCCCCATCTAATTGATGGAGTTCTCACTTCCATGTTGGTGCTGACAAGCCAGAGAGAAGCATCCCAGGGTGCTCTGTATGGGTCCTAGCACATCTGTAACAGGCAGAGGGAGGTCTTTGCTGAGCTGAGGGTGGCACAGCTCATCAGAACCCAGGGCCACTTCTGAGAGATCCAGAGTGATGGAGCAGCTGATTTAAGCCAATCTCAGGATGGGTCAACCCAAGCCAGATGTCAGGGTGAAAAGGGGAAGTCAGCCTTTTCCCAGACCTGGGGGGCTGGGCAGGGCAGACTCAGGCCAAAAACCTGTGGTCTCAGCTGACACAGCCTTATGTGTATGCGTGTGTGCTGTTCAGGAGGAGATGATCTTCCAGATCCCATGGAAGCACGCTGCCAAGCATGGCTGGGACATCAACAAGGATGCCTGTCTGTTCCGGAGCTGGGCCATTCACACAGGTGTGTGCCTTGGACTTCAGCCCAGGAGTCCCAGGGGCCAGGGAAGGACAAGAGGAGGCACTTCTGTTAATAGAAAGGCTCTTCATTGGCGTCTCTGAGCTCCCTAAGAAGGTGTATAGAATTCAGGGGGTGGACAGGGCAGACCTATGTTTCTGGGGAGAGGGTCCATCATTTCAACAAAGGAATCTGTGAAGATCTGTGAAAATCTTAGAAAGTGTGGTTTCAGGTTGTGGCTGGATTAAGGTTCTCCCTGGCAAAAGCAGCTATGAGCCAGGACACTAAAAGAGACCCAGGCCTTCCTTTTTCTTGATGTTGACCAAAGTCCTTGGCCCAAGGTCCATCTGATTGGCAGCCTCCTTTTATTCTTGAGGGATGGGGCTCTTGGCCCATCTCAGACCAGTCAGTCCACCTATCAGTAACTGTTCTTTGATGCCTACTCTGTGTCTACTACCATGTTTGGAAATATCAGATAAGCCCCAGTCCCTATCCTCTAGCTGCTGATAGCCCAAGCAAGGAGACTGGGCATGGTCCGGGACAAAGATAGCACTTTTGGGTGTATGGGCCCTCTAGTGCTTCTGGCTGGCCCCTTCAGTGAGGCCTGCTTGATGTGTTTGAGCCAAGTCTGGGCATTTAAGAAGCCCCAGGGCCCAGGGCCTGCAGAGTGTCACCCAGGAATACCTGCTGGTTTGACCAGTGTGGATCTCTGGCAGCATGAGAATTTAGGGGTACTCTTGCCTTCCTCCTCCCCGGCCAGGGGGCAGCCGAGGATCCCCACCCATGGCCCTGACGATCCTCTTCACTCTCCTGCCCATTAGGCCGATACAAAGCAGGGGAAAAGGAGCCAGATCCCAAGACATGGAAGGCCAACTTTCGCTGCGCCATGAACTCCCTGCCAGACATTGAGGAGGTGAAGGACCAGAGCAGGAACAAGGGCAGCTCAGCTGTGCGGGTGTACCGGATGCTTCCACCCCTGACCAAGAACCAGAGGAAAGGTATCCAAGGGCTCTGGGTCCTCGGGAAGCCCTCAGGGAGGGAAGGAGGGAGGAGGAAGGGCAGCTGGGGCTGGCATGCCTGTACCAAGGCTGACAGCCTATCTGTCCCACAGAGAGAAAGTCCAAGTCTAGCCGAGATGCTAAGAGCAAGGCCAAGAGGAAGGTGAGTGTGTTCCTAAGCAGCTGGCCTTTGGTCACCTGTGAGTCAGGGTGGGCAGTGGAAGAAGTGCCACAGCAAGCCTGGGCCTAAGCTTCTTTGTCCTTCTGTAGTCATGTGGGGACTCCAGCCCTGATACCTTCTCTGATGGACTCAGCAGCTCCACCCTGCCTGATGACCACAGCAGCTACACAGCTCAGAGCTACATGGGGCAGGACTTGGAGATTGAACGGGCCCTTACTCCAGGTGAGGTGGGGCCCTTACTCCAAGTCTGGCAGGGGAACACCCAGGTCGGTGGGATGTCTCTTTTGCTTGGGTATAGGAGGCTTTATGTCTGTGGATGGTGGCCTGTTGGAGCAGGCTGCAGGGTAGGGGATGCTGGATGTCTTGCAAACTAAGAAAGCACACAGCTCTGACCTGTGGTTTCTGTTGTCCTTCAGTGCTGTCATCATGTGCTGTAAGTAGCACTCTCCCCGACTGGCACATGCCAGGGGAAATTGTGCCGGACAGCACCAGTGACCTGTACAGCTTCCAAGTGTCGCCTATGCCCTCCACCTCTGAAGGTTCGTGCTTCTGGGGCCTGGCCTGCCTGCCTGACTGGGTCCTGGGAGGGATTTCCTGAGGAAGAAAAGATGCTCAGAACTCCAGCTGGCACTGAGCTGACTGTGGTGGAGAGAAGGAGGAAGGGGGCCAGGGGCTGCATTTTGGTCTAAGGTTGCTGGTTCTCCTGCCCCCTCTGCAGCTCAGTCTCTGAGAGTAAGGAAGGAAGCAAGGGGTAGGAAGAGGTGTGGCTTCAAGGTTGGGGAGGCTGAGTCACCACGACAGTGTCCTGTTCTGGAATCTCTATGGCAGGCAGATGTCCGCTGGGAGGCCAGTGTGTGTGTGCATGTGAAGGGGCAGGGGGATCTAGTGGGGCTGGAACTGCAGGATGAGCCTAGGTGACTGCCAGCCAACCTCTCTGCCCTTCCCCATCCACAGCTGCAACAGACGAGGACGAGGAAGGGAAATTAACTGACGACATCATGAAGGTAAGCCCCTTTCTCCCTGGGCACTCTTTTGAAGTAGCTGCCTCTCAGTGAGGAGAGAGACCCAGTGAGAGCTTCCAGATTGGAGGGTAGGCAGCTGCTGCTGTGACCTGGCTGCTTGCATAGTCCTACAAGTGCCACCATATCCATGTGCCTGGGGACCACTGCCCTCCTTGGCTGAATGGGAAAAATAGTGTGGAAGTGAGGACAGGTAGGAGGCCTAATTTCCAACAGGCTGTTCTGGTGCAGGCCTCAGGGCCTCAGACACTCTGAGTCAGCCGCCATCAACGCTGGGTGGCTGGTGAGTGTCCTCCACCCCAGCGTGCCCCAGCCCTGCTAGTTTGGGAAATGCACATCAGGTTTCAATAATCAGCCTTGGGATCTGTAATATGATGGCTTTTGTTTTTGTTTGTTTTTTTGTTTTGTTTTTTTTACCAAATTATCCTCCAGGGTTTTTTTCTGCTTCTGTTTTAAAAGTGAATATATTGGGGCTGGCTGGGTGGCACAGTGGTTCGGTTCGCATGTTCCGCTTCAGTAGCCTGGGGTTCGCCAGTTCGGATCCCAGGTGCGGTCATGGCACCGCTTGGCAAGCCATGTTGTGGCAGGCGTCCCACATATAAAGTAGAGGAAGATGGGCATGGATGTTAGCTCAGGGCCAGTCTTCCTCAGCAAAAAAAAAAGAGGAGGATTGGCAGCAGATGTTAGCTCAGGGCTAATCTTCCTCAAAAAAAAAAAAGTGAATATACAAAAGTTTTTGCAGTAGTTGTACCCAGACTCTGTTCCATCAGCACAGAAAATTGAGACATGAGTATGGTTCCTATCTCTAGCTTTTCTAGTCATCTTTTCTTGACTTACTATGCTAACCATTGCTTTAAGCCAGACTCCCAGTTGGTCTGTCCCTACCCAGTTGAAAGGGAAGTCTCGGATATTCTGTGCCAGAGGCTGGATGAGGAGTGTGTGTGTAGGGCAGACCCTCACCTCCCAGGCCCCTGTCCTAACTGCACTCCACGTCTGCTTCCATCTGAGAATGTGAAAATGGCCAGGGTATGATCCTGGCTGGGAAGCTTTGGCTCACTAAGGGTGGGGCCACAGGGCGAGTCTGTACTGGAAGTGAGCTGATGGCTTCTTGTTCCTCTGTCTCCAGTTCTTGGAGCAGTCGGGGTGGCAGCCGACAAACGTGGATGGCAAGGGATACCTGCTCAATGAACCTGGGGCCCAGCCCCCCTCTGTCTATGGAGACTTCAGCTGCAAGGAGGAGACAGAAGTCGACAGCCATGGGGGTAAGAAACCCCAGGATCCATGTGGGAGGTGGGGAAGGCTTGGGGGCAGAGCCAGGGAGCAGCAGAAGTAAAGCATCCTTCTTAAACTCATCTGGGTACAGACAGCTTGTGAATTCGCTGCTGCTCCCGTGCCCTCAGTTTACCTAAAGATGACGGCGGCTCGCTGTATGGGGTGGAGAGCAGAGGCTGCTGTGTCTGTGGCCTTCAGGGATAGGGTTGGGGGGTCGAGGAGGAACACACTTGCCCCCACCCTCATCCTCACACAATCTTCTTCACATCTTCTAGGGTATATTGGGCTGATATCTTCAGATCTGAAGAACATGGACACCAGCTGGCTGGACAGCCTGTTGACCCCAGTCAGGCTGCCCTCCATCCAGGCCATTCCTTGTGCTCCATAGCTGGGCCCCTGGCCCCCTTTTACTCCCCTAGGTGAGCAGGACCTGGCATCATGGTGACTGTGGTGCAGAGAAGCAGGACTCCTGTGGGCCCTTTTGACATGGCAAAGCGTGACCCCACTGCCGAGTGGGGATGGGGCCTCCCTCCTTGGGACGGTGGCCTCTTGGGGCCTGCCAGGCCAAGGTCTGGGCTCATCTTGTGGGGGTAATGCTGGCCCTGCCTCCTCGGAAGATGGGGTTCTGAGATTGGTGTGTCAGGTGGAAGTCTCAGAAAGGAGTCAGCCTCCAGCTTTCCCCTCTATGCCCAGCTGCCTGGAGAGGGTCTCACTGTCACTGAGCTGGCCCAAGGGAATGGACCAGTGACCTCAGAAAAGCACAGCACCGACCCCAGGGCTGGCTCTGCACTAAGAGACAATTGCACTAAGTGAATCCTGTTCCCAAAGAACCACCTCCCTTCCCAGCTGAGCCCTGGGGACTGTTCCAAAGCCAGTGAAATGTGAAGGAAAAGTGGGGTCCTGCGGGACAGTACTCCCTCAGCCTCGGAGGAGCTCTGCCCTGCTCCCTGCTCGGGCTGAGGGGCTCGGGAAAAAACATGGCACTTTTTCTTGTGGAACTTGCCACATTTCTGATCAGAGGTGTACACTAACGTCTCCGCTAAGCTCTTGGACTTTGCATTTATTTATACAGTGCCTTGCCCTGCGCCCACCTGCCCCCTCAGGCAGGCCCCAGCAGCCCTCAGGAGGCCCAGGGAGGGAAGTGTGAGCGCCTTGGAAAATTTTTAAAATTGGAAAACGCCATCTGACCACTAAGTCATGTGTGATCACATATGTACATGTCTGTAAATTTGTACATTTGTCTTTTTATAAAAAGTTAATTGTTTATAAGGGGTGTGACCTTTTCTTTAGAGATAAATTGCAGATGGTTTTACTTTTTGTAGAGACATTCTAATGGACTCATTCTTGGCATCCTGCCTGAGCTTGATTTTGGGGTGAGCAGTGACATGCACCTGTTGCAGAATCCTTTCAATTATGTTCATGGAGAAGATGACAGGACGAGGGGACAGTCAATCGCACAGGGACATGCCTATGTAAATAGAGACACTTGCCCTTGGTTTTATAGTCAGGGCTGTGAGTTGAATTTGGGCTTCTGGGGCCTGGGGTGCGTTAGGTTGTGAGTTCTTCTAAGGAATGTGCCATAGACCATATGTCCTCCTGAACTCATGTGCATGTGTACTCAGGTGCTGTGCCAAGAAGTTAACAGGTGGCACAGCACAGTCACAGACAGCACAGACATAGCCCAAAACAGGTCCCCAAGGCCTGCTGTGCTAGGCATTAGTTGCTGTCCAGTTTCTGTGGTGATGGAAATGTTCCCTCTCTGTTGCTGTCCAATACAGTAGGCAGCGGCACAGTCACATGTGCCAACTGAGCACTTGAAATGTGGCCAGTGCAATGGAGGAACTGAATTTTAAATTTTACTTAAGTAGTTAAAATTTAAATAGCCACCTGTGGCCAGTGGCTACCATATTGGACAGGACAGGTAGATACTGGATTGGGGGCAGAACTGAGGGAGAGGGGCGGGGGTGGCTGGAGGACTCTGGGGACAGGCTTGGGGCTCTTTACCTGCCAGTTCAAGAATACTATTTTGACACCCAACAATAACTGTATTGGTGCTGAATACCAGCCCTGCAGTGTACTGTGGAACAGGTCCATGCACAAATGTGTTAGGAAAACCTTGGATGACCTCATACCAAGCAGGTTTCATTCTTCCACGTCTTTTCAGGATTCCAGCTGGGCTAATGCACACAGAATCTCTGTGAAAGGGTATATTTGATCAGAACAGTGTTTCTGAAAACCACAGGTTGAGAACCACTGACATGGCAATGCCCCCTTCAGATAAGGCCCCAGTGAGGAATGTCTGAGGGTGAGAGGTCTGGATATGGGCTTTTCTCATCTCCCTCCCCTGAGATGTAAACAGCACCCAGCAGTAGGCAGTCTGGCCAAAGGAAGCCAGCTGGCATCACTAGCATCATCTAGGGACTGAGGCCATGGCAGCAAGGGGGTTGCTCAGGGAAACCAAGCCCAGTGGACACATCTTCCATATTCTTAGTTCCAGAGACCACTTGGACTGTGACCCTCTCATTGGGCCCAGCCCTCTTGAAGGAGTGTGGGGCCTTGGTGGAGGAGGGAAGGCTGAGTGAGAAAGTGATGAAAAACCTGGGAAAAAGGCAAAGGTCAGTCTGACATTTTCTGCCAAGCTCAGGAAATATCGTTCCCTGATCTCGGACATGCTGTGAGAGGGCATTCTGCATGTGGACGCCTGGATAGACCCCGATCTCAAACCCTGCCCATCGAAAGGTCCACCTGAATTTTTCAAGAGCAGTCTCATGTAGGGGCAGAGGGATGGATAAGATGGCCTTTCCCAGCTCCTCCAGGGCCCAGGCCTTACTGAGAAGAATTGGATTGAGGTGGCTAGCCTCCTGTAGCTTGTAAATAGGGGCTTGGCAAGGTCTTCTAGTGGGTGTTTTTTCCAGCTAAGGATGGCCGGGGGTGGTGTGAAGCCATGTAGAGTGGACTGAGGCGGGATGGGAGGGAATGGATGCAACTCAGGGCAAACAGCAGGAACTGCTCTGACTTACCTACTCTTCTTTTGTCTTTCAACCTAATCCCTGACAGAGTAGGCAGTGGGTATGTGGAAGTCCCAGGCAGTCGTGGAAATATTTCAAGTTGTGATACACAAAATTCATCATTTATGTTACCGAAATGGGAGAGGAATTCCATTTGTCACGTCCCAAACTCCAGGAGTCCTGACCTCCTCCAGCTCTTCTTACCCCAGGAATCCTAAACAATTAGGACCAACTCCTTGGAATGTCCAGGGAGGGACTCCCAGAACTCTACCCCCCCACCCCCCATCACAAGGTAGCTGGGTCCTAGGGACCAGGACTGGAAGAGGAGTGTGGGATAGTGCTAGACCTTCTAGGATGGTGAGCTGTCTCTTCATACCCCACCATAGACCTCAGCCCAGGCCTGACAGAAGAATAGTAAGGTCTGACCACTCACCTAAGGGCGATAGCAGCTGACACTAACTCATTAGCCAAAGAATGCCTGAAATGCAGCAACATCAGTATAATCTGAGCCAAATTTGGGCATAATAATTTAAGATCATTCTAAGGACTTGCCAATGCTTTGTGGGTCATTCCCAAGAATTTCAGTCTAAGCACTAATGGTGGAAGCTCTTGGCTGAGGGAGCTGGGAGGTCACTGAAAGATCTGTTTGTTGGGATTGCGATGACATTGTTATCAAGGGCCATTTTCAAAGGGGTAAACTGGTAAAGTGGGGCTCAGCCACACCAGCTAGAACTCCTGCCAAGTCTACAGATGTTTAAGGGCATTTCTGGTTAGTCATAGGGGTTTCCTTGCCTTTCTCCAAAGGTGTCACTTTAATTGGGCTAGTTTATTCATTCAGCTCACCTGGCAAGAGGAAGAAAGCTAGACGCTAATAAGCTGGCTGCCCATACAGAGGTTGATGAAGCAGAAGATCTTTAGGGAAGACATGCAAATAATCTCTTTTGGTATATCAGTTTTCAACATCTCTCAGGGCACTGTGTGCAAGATAAGAGCTTTCTCAGACCTCTCTGGAAGTCTCAGGTGGGGACTGTCAAAGACAGAGCTGAAGTTCTGGGGAAAGTCCTGCGCCTGGCCAGAGGTGGAGTCCTTTCCTCTGAGAGTGATGCCCTCTGGCTAGTGGGGCTCTGTCACACCCAGGCTGTCATTCTCTGGGACCATTTGGTCTTCTTTCACACTGTTTGCACAGATCCAAAAATCTTTGTATTAGTGGGGTACAGGTTTCCTCAGCAGTCCTATTGGAGCACCCCAGAAGCCTTTGTTTCTGTTAGATGTAATGCCCTTTCTTCACTTGGGCACGACTAACCCTCCATTGTGAGGATGCGTGAAATTCATCAGAACTCTGCACTTACCTTTCCCTACTTTTGCCAGTGGTCACAGGGGCAGAAGGCCTGGGGAGGGAGAATGGGGAGCCGGTGCACTCCCTTTTCCAGGAGGGAAAGTACTGGACAGAATGAGACTTGTCTTTGTTGGCCAGAGCTCCCTTGTGAGGCCAAGTCTAAGGCAGCACAGGGGCACAGCTAGCTGGCCACGAGGTTTTCTTAGCTCTAGGCAGCTCCCAAGAGACTCATTTCTGCTGATTTTCTTGGGGTGGAGAGTTGTAGAAGAAGCCCCCACTTCTGCAGCCTCAGTGGTGAGGCAGGCCTAGGGAGTCTATGCTAGGAGCTTAATTTTACTTGGGGAGATACTGGAGACAATGAGACAAGGACATGGGGACTGGTGCGAGAGGAGAGGCAGACATCCAGCCCGCCATCTTTCATCCAGCTCTTCGAGCTCAGAAATGGGTAGAACTGGAAAGGACCTCAAAGTCTGGATTGGTGATGACAACCTAGGCCTCAAGTGCTCACTTTGCACCAGGTGTTGTGCCAAGAACCCCATGTGTACCATGGCACTGGCACCCCACCACAGCCCACTGTTCACAGACCAGGAAACCAAAGCTCAACCAGCAGAAGGTGCTTGCTCAGGGTGACTCAGCTAATCAGTATGGAGCCTGGATTCCAACTCACATCTGTCTATGCCCAGAACCCACAATACCAGGCTGCCTGCAGAGGAGGAAACTGAAGCCTGGGGAGGAAGTTTGGGAGAGCTGGCCCAGGGCAGGGCACTAGCACCTCATGCCAAGAAGGCATTTGGAGACACTGAGGGAAGGCAGGAAAAGCTGCAGCTGCTCTGGACACTGTGTGGGACCCCACACTGTCTTCTGTTCCCCTGCCCCCACCCCAGGCAACGTGGTTCTGCTGCTACAGGCCCCAGGGCCCCAGTGGGGTGGGGTTTGGCTTGGTCCTCAAGGGGAGCAATGCCCCACCTATGCCCTGGAGGCCACCTGCAGTTTCGAGGGGTGGGGCACGAGGGGGGTGGGACACAGGCCTGTAACTTGGCCTCAGCGGAGGGGGCAGCTCAACCACACAAGTCTGTATGTGAACCTGCTCCCAGCTCCAGGGGACTCTGTCCTGCTGGGCCTTATCTCAGCTCTAGGGGTCAAAGAGGACTTTCCAGCCACGTTTCTGTCTGAGCAAGGCAACCTGAACTCTCTTGTTCTCCTGCTCTCAATCAGACCCTTTCTTGGGTCCTGGGGTCCTAAGAGGTCTGGACTCTGGGTGATTGTACAAGTCAAGACCACTCGGGGGTGCATCCTAACTCCCAGTCACAAGACTGGAGTCACCTGATGGCTGTCAGGAGTCTAACCCCAGCTTCTTGGTCCCTGAGAAAACCTAGCACTCTTGGCAGCTGGCTGGTTGATGCCCCCCATCAGCAGGGCTCTCAGACTCACTCACAGACTTCCTTCATGGGAAGGCCCTTCCATGTCCTGCAGACCCAGCTGAGACACAGCCTGGGTCGGGCCCTTGCTTCCATTTCTGGCCAAATGCCTTGGATCGGCTTGGGTCTCTTTCTCTGTTTCCGCCCTCCCCTTTCCCTTAACAGCCAGGCAGATGTTGGGGTGTCCAGTTCTGCTACCTTCCACTGTCCATCCTGAATCAGCCCAGAATTAGGGCAGGCACAGTGGGTTCTTCCACAGCAGTTAAAAATACTCAACCACACCTTTGCTCAGAGAGGTGAAGAGATATGCCCAGGATCTGAGTTCAGGAGCAAAGTAAGTAGCCCAAGCCACATGAGCCCTGGGGTGGGGTGGGAGGACTGTGTGCCAGGCTTCTCTGAGAAAGCTGACTTCATGGAACAAGGGAGTTCTGTGGACATGGAGTTGGTGTTTGGGGATCTGGGGTGGATAAGGAGGGAGTCACGCCGGAACAGTTATTACTTTTC